TTCAGTGCATTCAGCCACGGGCTACACGCCATATTTTCTGCACACCGGTCGTGAATATGTGAAAGATGGAAACGAATATAAATTATTATTGGATGTAAATCCATACCATACCCAGGAGGTGGAACAACGTAAAGTTCTGGCTGATGAAATTCGAGACAGACAGTTCGCACAATATCAACAAACCGCACAACGGGCATTGACCCGCAAAAGAGAACGCCATTTCGAGATAGGCTCGGAAGTGTTCATTCCCAATCCTAAACCGTCCGTGGCCGGAGAGGGCTATGCACAAAAACTAGCCCCACCAAAAATTAGAGCCTATGTTTCACGGAAACTTGGTTCGAACTCATATGAACTGATCGATGCTAAACACCGAGTGCTTGGCAATTATTCCGCCGATTTAATCACAACACGCTAACTCATTCAGTACATTCGCCTTCTCAAGAATTTCGATGAATATATGGCGGGCCTCCAGACTCCATTGATTCTGCCTTATTACAGGGTACCCGGCTGGAATAAATTAATTAAGTTTAGTTTTGTTATATCCATAGTTTTGTTATATTATATCCTCAGTACATTGCTAGTAAATCGATCAAAGCAAACAAGAAAAGTTTCATAACCAAATCATTTACCAATGCCTTTCATCTACCGTAGTTTATGTAATGCGTACTGAAACTAAACACGAAAGACGGAGCATTTGTACATACATACATATGCGCTTAAAGGCGAACTGAACGAGTCAGGATGGGGTTGATGAAGATCATGTAGAACGATTTCGATGTAAGGTCTAACGTCGATCAAACCACAGCCCGTGAATTGCATTCTAACCACCATTCTCATATCCCTACTAAACGCTCCACATTTTTTTTTGTTAACGTGTCGCTGAAGATGAGAGGGGGATAATGATCTATTATTTTTATTGCCCAAATAATAGACATAAGAACGATTATAAGAAATGTAAACATAACAAAACTGTCAAAGCTAAACTTCAAAATGGGGGGGATTGCCAGATGAATGTACGTAACCAATGTTATCCAAGACACGAACCATCATATCGGCATAGGCACGAATTGACAGTGACAATAGGGAAACGCCCACACTTACACACGATAAAAGAATCGGTGGTCACATACCACGAGGCTAGGGAAATATTCTTCCTTTCCCGAATTGGACACGGAGCGAACCACACGCATCAGCCCTCGCAAGAACGGAAGTAATCTTAACCAAATAATTAAACTGGGTTAAAAGCTGGCGACATTCAGTTAGTCGATATTCACCCATATCTAATAAAGGGAAATCGACTGAGCCCAAACATAAGGAAAAAGGCTATCAGTAAAAAGCCGTAAGTGTGCAAAGTGTTCGAGGCGGTAACAGAATTTAATCGTGCTATTCGTTTGCAGTTTTTTTTTTATCTTGTATCTGGTTCAGTCAAAGGCAAAGGGTTCCGTCACATTTCTTGCGGCGAATCCCCAACCAAATTGTGCAGGGGAAAATAAAGAAGTTGTGAATCCAAAAACCTGGTCTATTCATTTGACAGCAATTGGACCCCATTAGCCGATTATCCCAAAATCATCAAAGCGTAAGTCTGCCACTTTCTTGTCACCATCCCATTGGAAACGAGCTACCCAACAAGAGTAAATCGAGATTCCTGTTTGGACCGACAAATTAAGGTCAAGCAAATCACTTCCCATAAAGACGGTTATCTCCTCGATCTTGCTCTAAAGTCTGTTACAGTTAAATTAAAGGAGCTTCATGTGGTTCGGGAGACTTGTTGTTATGCGGTGTTGCACTTGACTAATGTCACGTTACGGAATATCCTGGTCTGACATACCGTGCAGAACCAAGAGTTGTTGGGGGCTGCGTGTGGGTGATGGTGCGGTTGTGTCTGTTGTGTGGTCTGTCGTGGTTATGGTGTGTTCTATTGTGTTGTTGTATTGTGGTGCTGTGGTGTGGTTCTGAAGTACATTACAATTGAAATATACAATCTTTGTGTGCCTTGGAAGACTGATTGCGATGTGGTGTGTGAGGGAGGTGTGTTGCCGTTTGTTGTGTGTGCTGCTGAAGAGTGTGCTGCCCTGTAGTGGTAGTGGCCTCCGTCGCGGGAGGAATTCACGACTGAGCAAGACAACAAGGGCCCATGTAGTTGCATAGTGCGCAGACCTGAACATGCCCACAAGGGGCTCCAGCCAGGACAGAAATAGCACTTGACTGATGTCATGTTACGGTATATTGTGGACCGAGACACCGAGCAGATTGTTGGAGGAACTAAGAGCTGTTGGTGGCAGCGTGTTGGTAGGGCTCCGGTTGTGTCTGTTTGTATGTTGATGGCTGTATTGTGTAGGGGGTGGTCGAGTTGGAGTTGTGTGGGACCACGAAAGACGTGATCCACTGCCGGTGAGTTCTTTAACCCGAGCAGGTTTTCACCGCACAAAATACTAAGTATAAAAGTATCTTGTTAATTTTACCTAACGAAACCCCGCGTACAAATGTGCATAGAAATTTTGACTTCACTAAATACTAGAAATAAAAGTACTTAGTATTTTTGGCTAAACTAAATACTGCATGCTAGTGTTTAAAACTTATGACCTGATTAGTATACAAATAAAGAATTTTTGTATTTTAAAGACTATTTTCAGAATGTTTAGGACTTGCTGGATTCTCAGGAGTATTTCGGGGTTTTTGGGATTCTCCGGACTACGCCGCAATTTTGGAGACTACTTGGGGATTTTTAGGATCCTCGACGCTTTCAGAAATAAAATTCGCCGTGCGAAGAAGTTGGTGTGATTAGAGGTGAGTTGAGATATATTGAGTCGAAGTGATTTGAGTTAAAGTGAGGTGAGTTTAAATGAGGTGAGTTTAAATGAGGTGAGTTGAAATGATCGAGCTAAGGTGAGTTGAGGTGAAGTGAATGCATTTACATAAACCAATTTAATGACAGGCGATAATCGCCTGAAAGATTGACTTGTGTCTACTTTGAGGCATGCGATTTTTGAATCGCCATTTACTCGAGCGATTTTTGTTGAGCAAAGTTGAATGGCCTAAAAAATCGCCCCCTGTAAATGCAGGTTAAGGTAAGGTGTTAATTACCTTAGCATTTCCTAAATCATAAAGTATTTAGTTTATAAGCATTTAGCCATCTACTAAATACCTTAGTGCTTTACCACATAGTAGTATCTGCCAAATACTTTAATATCGTTTACTTAAGTATTTAGCAACTCCAAAATGGCAACGTTTTTTTAATTAGTATTTAGCAACTCCGAAAAATGTTGCCTTCTCAGTGCCCTCTACGCCCAAATTCTAAGCAGAGGGCAATGAAATGGTGAAATTCCAACTTTTGACACGTAACATGCTCCAGGGACGAACAGCTATTGGAAACATTCGCCGATCTAAGCCAGCTGTTATTTCGTTGGTCGAATAAAACACGAATTATTCCGCTACAACTATTCAAAAACATCGAACCAGAATAGGTATTTAATTGGTTATAGCTAAATTCTTGTCTAAGTTATTATCGATCGAGTTAAGATGAATCTTGATTGCGTTCCTCTTTTTTGATATATTATATATACATATACATATGTATATATATATTTTTTTTTATTTACTGATGAAGTCCTAATTAGATTCAAGAGGTTAATAGATTTTTTTTTTTTACTTTGCATCTAGCTCGCAAGTTTTTGCCAAATTTGCGCATGCGATTATTTTTCTTTTTGGAAAAGAATGGTTCGTTATCCTCCAGCAAATTGCTGTTGTTTTTAATGTAAAACTAAATGAACAGTGGTACAGCTGATTGGGTTGATGCAAACAAAAAAAACACATACTCGAACAATCAGCTGCTCACAGAAATTCATAAGTTCGGTTCGCTATGCAAAGGCCAGTAAGAATTATAGCGATTCTACAATAGCGCAGTGGCAGTGGCAGCGGCAGTTTTTCGAACTGTTACTGCGTGTTAAAAACTGTCACTGCCACTGCGCTATTGTAGAATCGCTATATCGCTATTAGCCAGTAACGAAATTCAGAGAATAAGGTATCTTACTCTCCCAAAGAAAGAAACTTACTAAGTTTTGCGCGAGCAGGAAGTAGCAAACATTTGTAAGCTTCACTGCCAAGTGGGGTCCACGGTTGCATTTCGAGCATAATACAATTTTTAAATTATTTCAGGTGGAAATCAAAACAGGACCTAGACGTATATTTCTTCTTATTCTAACTTTCTTCAACATACGCTTCAATTTCTTTGTGGAAGTCACTGCCGGATTTCCAATAACGACAGTGGTGTCGACTGCGTTCCGATTACGAATACTGCCCTTTCAGCCGAGTTACCTTTCAAATGTTTGGAAATAATTAAATTAATTGAATAAACAAATATTTCATACTTCTTTCATTAGTAAATCGCAACAAGATTGAGTATTTTAAATTTAACGAACTTGTCGATTCAAATTAATGCTGACAAAAATGCAACCGTGTGCCGCAATCCTGCTTGCAAATTCTTACTGGCAAAAATTTTCCCATCACGAATTTGCAACTTCCCCTCCAAATGAAATGTCAAAATTGTGCTCTCTCCTTGCAAGTTTTACAGGGTTTTTGGCTAAACGAACACGATTTGGTAACAATTGGTACCAACTTGTACACATTTGCAAAGCGAACACTCCTATAGGCAGCTTTCACGGTTTTTGCTCTATTTGAGATAAGTTCCTTTGAAGTTTACATAAATAAAAGTTTAAAATCAAATGAAACACTAGAAAACGATCTTGAACCATACCCTGCAGTATTTTCAATGGATGTGAGTATTTCAAGCCTAGTTCTCTGTTCCAAAACGTTCGGAACGGCTTTTAACTCCTGAAATTATCTACTGGGTAGTTAATCGGTCATTGTTGTTATAGCTCCCTGATCTCTATTAAAAATAATGCATGCTATTCCTATGAATTAAATAATTTACAAACAATACAGATGCCCAATAATGCCACCTTTGGCTAGTTGCGTAACGAACATCTTACTGAATAACTTACCTTAATATGCTAGTATTACTCTTCCAGTTTTTGATGATTCTGTTTTATCGATTATGGGTTTACTGAGTTATATCTGTAATAAAAGAAAATTGTATTATGAATTTACAATCTCTGATATTTTTATGTTATTTGGAAATATACAGTATATTATTATTTGTTCATGGAACTAGATACATGTATTACTGTCTTTTTTGCCCTCACATCACATGGCAATAACTCGAGAAGCCTAAATCCCTCAAAAGAGTTTCAGCATTGCCAGAGTGAATTCGCTGTTTCCGACCTTATCAGCACTAAAGGAGGTCCCGTAGAATCTCTGTTCCAATGTCAAAGTAGCGACATCTGAGCTAATTTCCAGTTTGCTCATTTTCACCGGAACTCACAATAAGGATACCTGTTACTTTCATCAAGATTTTCTTTAGGATAGCAATTAACTAGCTGAATCTCTTGGAATTGTAGCTTCATAAACACTGTTTGCTCTGCTGTATGTAAAGAAGTGTTCCGTTTATGTCCCAAGGGTGGTAAAATGTTAAACCTTAAAGCTAACATTGCAAACCGTCTTGGGTAATTAGCAAGTCCTCGGAGGAATCCTAAACTTCGTGTCGTGCAGACGTGTTTTCGGTTCGCTCCTGTTTGTTTTCCTTTATTGCTTCGATATGGACAATTCCTGTGGTAAATGCGGCAAAGCATTTTCAAGAAGTGACAATCTAATAGGGCCGTGCAGTGGCTTTTGTAAAAAGCGATTTCATCGCACCTGTTGCGAAACCATTGCGTCCGAATACGACATTAATTTGTTTCAACGGAATCGCCATATTGGTTATTTTTGTATTGAGTGTGTTAATATGCCTGAAAAAATTTGTAAGACATATGACTCGATCATGGCCTCACAGAAACTTAGCATTGACTTCTTGACGAGTGCCATTAATGCAAGTTTCAAAAACTTTTCTGATAAAATTGATATATTGGCAAATAAAATTAAATCCAACATGCAATTAAGAAAAATCATAGACAACAACAATGCAAAATGCCTAGAAATGTTAGTTGCTGAGGTTAATATACTCAAACGGCTGTTAATACACCTATTGCTACTGTGGACAATCTTAGCAATAACAATTGCCGTTCTTCAATTGTGGTCGTTCCGCCCTTACCCGAATTAACTTGGTCTCAATCTGCGAGTTTTGACGACCCGGCTACCACTGTTCCACCTGGATCGACACAAAGAGCAAACAAATCAACTGCTGATGCCTCTCACAGTACCAACATCGCTAATGTTGATGCTGTTAACGCTGTACCTGCTAGCGATAAGAATGTTTTGTCACCGTTCGATGCTAATGCTATGGTTTGCCTGTGTTTTTTCTCCGCTTTCTGCGCACTCTGCTGATACTGGGGGAGTTAATGCAGCTGCTAATGTTCATACCTCTGATGTTGGTGCGGCTAACTCGACGCTGGCGAATCATCATGCACGTAATTATGCTGAAAACGACGCTGTTAGTGTTATCAATACGAATGCAGATGTTCCTACCAATGCGACTTATAACTCTGCTTGGTTAACAGCTGAGAACAGAAGGAATAAGAAAAGCAAAAAGCGTACTCGTGTGATGGGTTCTAATGTCTTTAATGAATTTGGTATAGCTGCCCGTGTTAATGTTAAGTGGCTACATTTGTCATCATTCCTGCCAACAGTCTTACCTGGCAATATAATTGATTATGTGGCGAAATATGCCGGTATTGAAAAGCAACAGATTTCATGTTTTAAATTGGTAAAAAACGGATCGGATACGAATTCGCTCACGCAGTTATGCGTTTTTGGGGATTTCAATTTACCCAATCTTAGTTGGTTACACTTGGGCAATGACTTATCTCTAACACCATCAAATATCTGTAACTCATGCGAGTCCTATCTTATTGATAGTCTGCTTAGTTTAGGCTTGGTTCAAGTGAATAGCTTGCATAACAGCTTGCATCGCTTACTTGATTAAGGGCCGGTTACTCAATGTCTGGTTAACACTAATCTGCGGTTAAACATCGTTATCGACGTCTACGACTCCATGCATACAACAGGGAGTCGGTAACGTCGATAACTATGTTTAACCGGGGATTAGCGTTAACCAGACATTGAGTAACCGGGCCTTAATCTTTGTTTGTTCTGACATAGATTTTAGTATATCGCAACCTGCTTCTTCTATCTCTCCGCCGAACATGCATCACGTGCCCGTATTATTGGAGATGCAATTCACTGAATTTTTTGACTTACCTCCTACTAACGCTAAAACTACTTTCAACTTCGCTCGTTGCGATTTTAATCTTTTAGGGCCGTTTTCACCAACTCTGATTAACACTTATCGCCAGTTAAACATCGTTGCCGACGTTACTGACTCCATGCATATTACATTGTGTCGGTAACGTCGGCTACGATGTTTAACTGGCGATTAGTGTTTACCAGAGTTGGTGAAAACGGCTCTTAGACTCAGCTATTAGTGAGTTTGATTGGCAAGTTCTGTTTGGCGATAACGAAGTAGCAGGTTGTTTTGACATCTCAAGTCTAATATTGCTAAGCTGTGCACTGAATATGTTCCAACTTTCAATAGCATGCATGGTCTTCTAATGAGCTAAGACGGCTAAAGAATTTGCGAAATAAGTTTTTTAAAAAATTTAAATCTACTAAGGAGCAGTGCATTTATGACTTATTTGTGTCCTATAAAAATGAGTTTAATGAGCTAAACAAAGTGTTGTACAAAAAGTATATTCGGAACTAAGAACTGGAGGTAAGGGATAATCCGAAAATTTTTTGGAGCTACATTAATTCCAAAAGGAAATCCTCAAGCATACCCAAAACAGTTTTTATAAGGAATTCACAGCTACGTCAGTGAAACGTGCGGCCGACTTGTTTGCTGATTTTTTTTTCGTCTAATTTCGCGTCGGACGAAGAAGTGTCCGACGATGATTTAAATTGTATTCAACGGAACCTTTCCTCTACCATGTCTTCTCCCGTTGACTTTGGCGCTCTCGTTCTTTCCGATGAGGGCATAATTAAAGGGATAAGATACATAAAAAATCTTCGCACACTGATGCTGATGGTCTCTCGGCAATTCTATTTAAGAGTTGTGATTCGCTGGTTGAACCGCTGAAATTATTTTTCAACAAATCTTTATCATCTGGAATTTTTATCGATGATTGGAAGATTGGAAGCGAACATCTATCACCCCAATATTTAAGAGCGGTTGCATGAATAACATTTCTAACTACAGACCGATCTCTAAATTATGAACCGTTGCCAAACTTTTTGAAGCTATCATTAATGATAAACTTTACTTTTACGTCAAATATATGATCAGTTCTAACCAACATGGTTTTGTTGCAGCAAGATCTACGCTAAGTAATCTTTCTGTCTTCACTGAAGACTGTTATTCAGCCTTTCGTCGAGGCGTGCAGGTGGATACGATGTATACGGATTTCTCCAAAGCCATTGACAAAATTGCCCACAAAATTCTTTTAACTAAACTGGAGTGCTTTGGCTTTCATTCAATTTTTTTTTAAGTGGGCTAAATCGTACTTACATAACAGGATAAGTGCGGTTGTCGTAGATGGTGTTGCTTCGGACCCTTTTGTTGCTATCTCAGGTGTGCCTCAGGGTAGCATATTAGGACCTCTATTCTTTAACCTGTTCATTAATGATATCTCTTCGTGTTTTTCATCCTCTTAAGTTTCTGCTTTATGCGGATGACTTGAAACTTTACTCTGATATTGGCTGCACCAATGACGCTACATCTCTTCAATTGGAGCTTAATAAGCTTAAGAGTTGGTGCGTTAGGAATCGACTGTATCTAAACATTAATAAATGTCACAAAGCGACATTCACTAAACTGCACAATTCCTTGCACACATCGTATAGCATTGCAAACTCTACGCTTGAGACGGTTAATGAAGTCCAGGATCTGGGGGTGTACTTTGATACTAAGTTTACTTTTGCTATGCATATTAATTATACGATAAAAAACTCGCTTGCTATGCTTGCATTTGTACGAAGGAACTCTTCTAATTTCTCAGATCCATACACACTTAAGATGCTGTTTTCTGCTTTTGTGCGGTCTAAATTAGAATACGCGGCATTTATTTGGAGACCATATCATGCTATTCATAAAAACAGGTTTGAGAGAGTTCAAAAAATTTTCCTCCGTTTCGCTCTACATTCGCTAAATTTCACATTCCCGATTCCGTCATATGAGTCTCGGTGCCGTCTAATCAGCCTACTGTCCTTAAATGATAGAAGAATACTCTTGGCGATATCTTTTATTTCTGACATTGCTACAGGCAGGATTGACTGCCCGTCCCTTCTTGAGAGGTTGCACTTCAATGCTCCGAGTAGAAACCTCCGTCGCTTTGAGGTATTTCGAGTTGGCCTCAGCAAAACGGCATATAGTGCCAATGCTCCTATTAATAGAACTCTAGCTGAGTTTAACGTCTTCGCAAATTCTTTAGACTTAGACTTATCAGTTTCTATATTTGCTCTTAAAGCCCAGTTAAGTGATTATTTTATCAGTCATTAGTGTAGTTTATGATCTCAACTTATATGTAAGCGTTTTTTAATTTATTATGATTGTGGCGAACTGCCAAAATGTCTGTTTCATGTGAATAATTGTCTTGAATAACGTAATTAAACAAGTAATACTCTCCAACATGTGTAGTCTGTAAGAATATTTTGTTCATTGACTTCAGTAAATAAATAAATAAATAAATGTGTGGATTAGTACAAAAATCGCCTAATTAAGGACTAATGACTTGTTCCTCTATTTGGAGGATAAACGGGCAATCAAAGAATGCTTTTAATTTTCCCGAAAATTATATTGATTCCTCGTTTATTGATACGTTTTATAGTAATAAACGATCTAAGGAATAAAGACCATTACTCCTTTTGTTCTCGTTTCGGAGGTCAAAAGAAGTTCAAAAGCACATCCACGTACATATGTATGTGCATACATACTATATACAGGGTGGCGCCGAATGAGCTATATGGTTTAAAGGGTTTATAACTTTTTTATTTATGCGATTATTATATTTTTTGAATTAGCTTTGAAAAATGAT